TCCGATGAATTCTAATGTAGTCCGATGAAGTCCGTGAAATCCGATGAAGTCTTAAAGTCAGAAGTGCAGGCAGGGGAGACCGGGGCTAAAAGTTCCGAGGGTAAGTTGTTCTGACGGTTATATCTTCAAAATGTAAATGTTATTAAATGTTATTTTCAATTGTTTTCATCGCGTGAGTTGATCACGCGACAAAAACAATTAAAAACACAACGTCTTTTAATTTTGAAGATATAACCGTCAGAACAACTTACCTCTAGAAACTTTTAGCCCCGGTCTCTCCTACATCTATTTTCTGAGTGGTTGCTCCCTCGAGCCGGAGATTTTTTTTTCGTCTATAGGAGACAAAGGTTTGTTCAAGAAGCCGGAGTCTTTGGGACCGAAAATCAAAGAAGTGGCAATCGTGATCAACGACGTAGGAGATCTCCAGTCGGATGAGAACAATTTTGTTGCAGGCGTGTACAAGCGGCGATTCGCGCCGCTCGCCCGATTAAATCATCACTCCTTCGAATCCACAATGTCTTCCGCATTACAATTACACTGTACACTGACTACACGACCGGGAGCGTTACGCATTACGCGAAATTACCTTGCGATTCACGACGCGCCGCGGGAATGAGCCTCTCGAATCAGATTGATAGAAGGCAAAATTACAGTGCCCGCGCGTATCTCTGTTAATCTAAAAAAATAAATTATCGCGACGCGTTATGCGTTTTCGCCGGATGGCATAATCACGGGCGATTTTACTCGGGCGGATACACGTTAATGACGTTAATGCGTTGCACGTCTTTTCCATTATCGGATATACCCGCGCCACACGTCCTCTCCGCGCCTCACAATGACTACATCACACGTCTCGTTTACGAGCTCGCGAGGTGAGAAAGAGGGAGAGAACTTCCATGTTTTTACTCGAGAAATTAATCATCGCTTTATTACTTCATTTCCTCTCCTCGTTAAAATGACGCCAGCGTTTATACGATTTTATTTAAAACAACAGCGACCTTGGAACGGATTTCTTTTCTTTCTGTTACAGATGTCGCACGTTATTAAATAACGCATTTGTGCAACCGAATCATTACTAATTTTAATAATTATAGTCGTAATAAGATTCCCGATAAGTAGAAAACAAAAAGTAATAATAAAGGCTAATGAGAATCGGCGTTGTAAGCTATATAAATAATTTGCGCGTCATGCGCAAATTATTTATAAATTCTATTTTAATACTTCATAAAAATGACTTTAAAATACAGGAACGTTTCAGCTAACATTTTTAGTCATATATTATCAGTTTAGAAATTAGAATACTTTTCGCGATATGAATGCAATCAGCTGCAATTTATTTGCGAAATTATCCATCATAGATATACTCCTTTTAAAATTTAACATAGGATAAGGGCATTAGTTCATCACTCTAAGAATATACAAGTTTATATTTTTATGCAGAAAGATATCAAAACAATCAATAATAATTTGACAGTTGTAATTAATTATAAAGAATACTTATGAATGATTTTATTTAATACTATTTTATTTTTTTATTCTAATTGAATAAAATAATGAAAATTGTCTACAATTAGATCACCGGATTTAATTGCGGATCAAATTACCAGCAGACTATTTTATTTTAATTGAAGCACGAGATATTGATTTTTCCATGAAATTTAATACTATTAAATAGTCCTATAAAAACCATAAGACAATCCCTATAGGTATTAAACTTTGAACAAATTTTTAAAGATATACTAAATGTTAACATCTCACGTTTTAAAAACGCATGTTAAATTAATACTCGCATCTATCGAAATGTTTGAAATATATTTTTTTCGCGATTTTAATTGGTTCTCTGATTGCGCTTACTTCGCGAGCAGCTGTCATCATGACATACTATCATTTTGACAGTTATGCGTAACAAGGAGTTAATAGTATATTGTAATGCATTTAAACAAGTAAGTAGCAAGTAAAGAATGAAAAGCGCTTGCGAAGCGCGTGTCTATGTCGTCTATTATTAATAAAATATGCGCTGTAGTTATTAGTAAATAAGAAGAAACAATTGACAATTGATAAACGTAACATAAAAATCTTGTAATATCATGCGAATCAATGTGAAAAGTACAATAATTATTTAAATATAATAGATTATCTGAAATTAATACCCGATCCACATTCAGTGTTCTTATCTTAATTCACAAACAGTTGGTCGGAATGATGCCAAATAATCGCACACATCTCGTAGATCGTAGATGCACATAACTGCATACAAATGTTAAATAGATTTTATTAACTTTAATTATTCCACGATGATAATATTTTAATTTTAAATTTAATAAATTATCAGAGCTCATATTCAAATTAGATCAATAATAGAGCTGTTGAGCCAAGTTAGGTGTACGTGCTAATAATATGTGTTGACTACGGTGATAAACAATCTTTAATATTATATAAATAACCAATATAAGAAATATACAAATTATACCAAACGTTTCGACCCTTTTACATAGCGGTCATCCTCAGTGGAAATATAATGAATTAAATACAAAACTCCATTATATGTCAACGCATTCGCTCGCAAATTATATTTGTCTGATGTTTTAACAAAAATTATTACCTTGTCGCCTAGATCTTTTGGAAAGCGTCATTCTTAGTCCATTTGTATTAGAAACCTTGTGACTTATAGATACATGTTAAAAGTTGAATATCCAGAAATCATGTAACTGCGGAGAAAGAGCTCACCAAGCAACAATCAACAAAGATTGAGAATAAATAATTAAATAAATAACATTTTAGTTTTCCAAGAAGGTGCTTCCTCTCTTACGCGAAATTTTCATAAACACATAATGACGACAGCTGTACGGAATGATCTGACACTCTCCGCGGGAAGTAAGAACACAGTACGGTTCACACACATTCTGGAAAGTGAGAAGCGAGAGGCGATCAACTCGGGCATGACATTCTCGCGAGACTTTCATATCGGTGCATAGACTCCGATCAGATGGCGATCGATCATCGATCCGGCGTCGATTAAATTAATACTTGGATGCGAGACACGTCTATCGCATATATAATGCGCTACGTGAAAATGCTTGAAAAGCGTTTGAAATTGCAATTGGCGCGCGGTGTTCTATAAATTATAAGGGTATCCCGGTAATCAATTTGCTCGACGCGGGGATCAAGACGGGGAATATCGGGTTAATAATGCGATAAATCCTCGCGTTCGCGGTTCACGCGGATCGCATTTCTTCTCTAATCATTGCAGTTAAACACATATCACTCAGATCCATTTCACAACGACGCGACGTTACCATTAACGGATGCATTATATATAGCGTTATTCTTAAAATGGATAATGATACCGTACGAAGTTGTTCTCAGGAAGTTTTACGGGATCAAATTAAATTCGAATCGGGATAAATCGTCGCTCGTCATCGCTGGCGCAGATACACGTCGTCGGCTCCGCGATCGCAATTACGTACATATTACTTAATTTAATCAACCGCGGCTGCGTGCGCGCGCGCACATTCATCTCAAAGCGTTTCCACGAGTTCTCGAGACTCGGGTGCACCTCTTTTTCTTTTCTCGAGCGTTTCCAGCGTTGCGCCTCTATTTCATCATTGGCTTCACCGCAAACGCCGATGATATCACACTGCCAATTGTGGCAACTTGCTCCGTCACCGGGAATACAACCGGGAATACCTCCTGATAAATACAAATCGTATACTACTAGTAAAAGTACTAGTAAAAGTAACGAGGCAACATCTAACCACTCTCTTTTTCCCGCGTCTGTTTACCTAACGCCCGATTATCTAGAATTTTACGTAACTTTTTCTCTCCACGATTCCTTCCCCGTTTTTAAATTCCCTTTCCGCGTCTCATCCATTGTAGGAGTGACGTCATTCCGCGTTCATGTCACGAATCTCACCGGTTTTAAGGAGCCTGTTACCTTTAGACGTTTAAAGACGACTGTTTTCGGAAATTCTTTTTTGAGAGAAACCTATGCGATGAATTTTTACAGACTTTTGTTTATCGCGCACGCGCACGTACACACACACACACACACACACACACACACACACACACACAAATTACGTTTTATATATATATATAACGATATAACTTTAAAATTAATGAACATACTTATACAGTATGTTCATTAATATTAAAATTATTATCATTTAAACGAGACCTTATAAAAACTAATGTTCATAATATCTCGGTTCGAATAATCTGAATCATCAAAAAATTTTTATTTATAAATAGTTGAAGGGAAGGGGAGCATAAACTTCGGATTTCTTGAATAATTTTTTTAAAAATTAGTATATTTTTTACTCTGTTAAAGATCGATTTTTATCAAATTCTACGTTGACAATATTAAGCTGATCATTCTGTTATTTGCAAAAATTCTACTTAATAGTATTTAGCTGATTTCTGACATTCTGTTATTTTTCACTTTATTTTCAGAAATTTTTCTTTTTTTTTTTTTTTAATTTATGGGATAGATTTTTATAGGCTTTTGTAGTTTATTGTATATTTCACTTATTATATTAATTATTGTACATATATTGAATTATCTTTAGTTCATTATATTTATAGTACAGTAATGATAAATAAAATATACAATAAAAACTACCAAAAGCTGTGAAAATTTGTTGCATAAGTTTTTCAAAAAAAAGAAAAATTCCCGAAAATATAAACCCTTAGCTTCTTCATCAAATCTCCCTTATTGTAAGTAAAAGCGGCCTTGAGGAAACTTTCCGAAGCTTGTAAGCATGTTCTTACTTAAGCGTTAGATATATTTTAAGTACTTGCGCCACGCGTGTTACAGCCGTTATTACAATATCGTTGCGCTATTCTAATTGCATTCGTGCGATATATATACGCTCACCCAGCAACGGGGCTAACATGGGGGGAGTGGGAGGAGAGGTGATAGCATGGCCCAAGTCGGCGCTAACAATTCTATCTTATTAAGCGAAGAAGATCTAAAACATTTGCCTTTCCCCTGTTTTCAGATCACAATAACGAGGCACGGCGGTAGCGGCGCACACGCAGCCCAGATACCTCAACAGCTGCCGACGTGTGAGTATATTAACACCGACGTGTAACACAGACTCGCCGCGAGACTTACTTTCTAATTGTCTCCCGGGCGACGGGTGACGGCTAATTAGGGCGAATCAATTAGACGTTGATTTCCCGCGTATGCGGAATCGGAAAGGATTCGCGATACATTTCCCGGCGCTGCATTGCCATCATCCTCCCCCTTTTTCCTCTCCATCCCGCTTCGGCGATTCCAAATCCTCGGAATTATCCGGCAATGATTCTCTCTCCGCCGCGGAAAAATCGCACGCCCGGCAGTTCCCTCCTCGTAAAAGCCAAATTGCCGGATAATCAGATAAAAGTGGACGCTTTCCACAACGACGCGGCGCGCACTTTCTAATGACGGCACAATACGGCGCCTGATGACAATGATTCGCGATAGGATGCTTGTGGTAACGAAGTATAACGGATTGGAAGTAAACGTAATTATTAGAAAGTAATGTATAATCGACCTCTCCCGTGTGCTTTCTTGATGAGTAAACCGCCCGACGGAGAGAGGCTTAATTAATTACCCGGGGCTAATTATACCTTGCACGGCTCAATTAATCGCGCATTTGGATACGTGTATTATAAGTATATACGAGGGTTGTCTAGAGATTTTATCTGCCCTTGACATATCATCACGTTGATAATAAAGTGACACAAGTCAAAAATTAGCATTTTTGAGTTAACGAAAGGAAGCCGACCTTGAAATCTTTACGGTTGATTTCCTCTCATTATCTCAAAAATGCTAAACTTTTTGCTCACATCACCTTTCTACGCGGTGATTTAATCGCATAAATTAAATACTGATTTCTTATCAACGTTACATTGAAACGAAAGCTCGAGATACCTATAAAGTTTAAAAGCCTTTCGTTGATCTTGTAAAATAATCGCTGCATCCATTAAATAAATCTCTTCGCTAAATTAACTAAATTTAATGAGCGACGTCATCGCACGTCAGCGATAATTTATGGGCGAAGAGAATTATTCGAACGCTTTTCAAGGATCATTATAATGGCTGATGAGAAGGGGAAAAAAGAGTATTTTCTCATCCGTCTCGCCGCCGGAGGAATCTCCGGGCCGGCTGCTGATTTTTCTTACGTCACCGAGATCGGCGAGAGCAATTAATCGAGCCGGACGGGCGGGTAATTTTAACGAAAGGGAAAAGTGTGTCGTCGTTCGGAAGAGTACGTGTCTCTGCAGACGGGACGACCTTCCTTGGGAAGACATTGCTTTTGCTGGAAGGTGAACGCAGCCGTGCGACCTAGATTCCCCAGTATGGAAAGGAGCGGAGTCAGCGGAGCCGCGCGCGCGCGCGCGCGCGGGACAAACGGAGAAAGAGTGATACGATATGTAAACGGCACGAAACGAGATGACGATTATAAGTCCGGGACGGGACGAGAACGACGACGAGCGTGCACATGCACTGGCACCGTCGCGATACATCCGCCGCGCGGTTCGCATCGACGCGCGAATCGAAAGTCCCCGGCTGTGCGCGCGATCGTGCACTTGACGGCGCGGACACTTTCAACCTTTTACTTTACGCAGCCGAGTCGGCCCCAAGTCGAATTTCACCCGTCGCGTATCGGCGGAAATGCGCCGTCTATGCGCACGGCATACGGATTTGCCTTTAACTTGCGCTTATCGCAAATCGCGAAACCTGCCTTCGCAAACCTGCCTGCGGTCCTGCGCGAATCTGGCATGGATCACCGCGAATCGCGATAATCTCGGTCGTTGTAGAATTTCGTAAGTAAGAGTTTGGACATCGTCTCCGTCGTTTCCGGAGTTATCTTAAGCAACTTTTCGAAAACGTTCACCTAGTGTCTGGAATAAGGGCAGTTTTGGATAAAATACTCTAAGGATAAAAATTTCTATTTTAATATCTTTTTATATTTAAAAGATTATCAAATAGTTAATAACATGCAATATTTAATAGTTATAATTCATAATTATTAAATTCAAAAACTATTATAATTCAAATCATAAAAACTATTAATTTTAAATCATAAAAAATACTTTATGGAAGATTTTATTCAATTTCAGTGCTATTTTTATATTTATATCTTTTAATTTTATATTTATTTTTATATTTATATTTTTAATTTTAATTGAATGAAATAATGAAAATTATCCACAATTACACTTCTGGATCTAAGTGTGTATTACTACACGTAAAATATTATGCTTATAATCTCAACTGACTAAGTATAATGTTCATTTTTTCATTTCTAATGTTATTTACTACCTTCTGTAAAAGCCGTAAGGTAACCTTACTTAACTTTGAATGAATTTTTTAAAAATATCAAAATTAATATCACATGTTTAATTACTAAACAATATCAAAAAAATATCTACGTTGTTGTTAGTAAATAACAAACAATTAATTACTGATGAAACACAATTTTATGAATTTTGTGATATATATGTTATTCAATGAAAAATATAATAAATATAATAAATCTGAAACTATTGCCAGATCTAATCCTATGCAGTTTATTAATGACTTTAATTCAATAGTTATCTGCATGTATAAATATTATTATTACTGTAACAAATGTGTAAAAAGATAATATAAATTTGTTTGTAGTTAATCTAAACATATGACAAATCAGTCAACAATTGTCTAAATGTCTATATTAGACTAGAGATTGAGATTGAGATTGGATTAATTTGACCAATCAAAGCAAAGTTCACTAAACTTGAGATTACTTTTCTTTCTCCTGATTAGTTAAGTTCCAATCTAATCTCGACCTTAATATCTAATCTTTTTGTATTAATTACTTTGTAGTTATAATCTAAACATATGACGAATCAATCAACAATTGTTTAAATTGTCCATAATCATCAGACTAGAGATTGAGATTGAATTGTAATTTGATCAATCAAAGCAAAGTTCACTGAACTTGAGATTGGTTTTCTTTCTCCTGATTAGTTAAGTTTCAATCTAATCTTAATCTTAATATCTGGTACAGGTATAAGTCAGTGATGCTCAAGATTTGTAATTCTGCAGGATATTGACTTGACGTGTACATATTAGCAATCATGTCTATTACCTTTATTTTCCTAACTCTGTTAAGAAAAAGGAAGATAACAGGCTGATAACAGGTGTTAAGCCAATATCTAGAATTATAAATCTTACAATTAGACAGCACCGGTCTAAGCGATGTCCAAACTCTTACTTGAGAAACTCCAGGTTGTTGATTCCGTTCGAGTAAGGATATGTTGTGAGTAAAAATAAGAGAGTAACATTTTTATGTCTTTATCGTTGAGAGATTTTTTTTATTAGATATTAGATTTTTTTATTATAGATATTGAAGCGTAACTCGGTCAAGAATATCTTTGTAAGAAAACGTTGCGATAAACGTTTGAAATAAATTAGCATGTTAAATTGCACAAATCGATTCAATATTCGAGTCAAGTAGCCTGCAATCTCGCAATTCCTCGAATACTTTTAGATGCTTCATGAGATCACGATTAACGAGCGAGACGAACGCGCTATTTCCCCTCGTGACAATGATGAATCGAAAGTCTCCGTTGAAGCCCCGCGGGTGCTTTCGGACTTTTACTTTTTGTCGTTTGTTCCGCCGAGGCACCTCGTCGTCGCGAGAGAGACGTAGGAAAATGAAATTGTTCCGTTCTGCCCTGATAAGAAACTAGGCACGTGTCTTCTACATCATATTATTACTTTCATTTGTTCCCTTTACAAATGATTTGGCGTCCATTCTTGAACACGTTCATGCCGTTTTACGCTGATGATCTTAAGTTTATCTCTCCAGGCTAATTTTACTTTCTAACTGCTACATAATCCACCTGGTAGGCAGGCTTGTTTCTTGGTGCTGTTAAACAAGCTTTCGTTGAACACCAAATCCATTATGAAATTCTCACGTAATTATAATCAATTTATCATTTATGTATATACAGGGTGTCCCAGAATTGGCGCATTCGGAGTACAGGACGTTATACTTTGTGCTAAAAGGAACAACTTTTTTCTTTAGCAAATTTTGATCTGACAAGTAATTTTGGCAGGAGAGCTGGTTAAAGTTAACGAATAATCGCTCTTATTCATGCGGCGCTCAGGACCGGCGCGCGCTTCTCCATTCACTTGTTTCTAATCCTTGGCTAATATTTACAAATAATTATAATTATTTTACGACATTTTAAGACTGTGTTTAAGACAGTCTTAAATATTAAGAATCAATTATAAATATCTTTTATTAATATCTTTTTTTACAGTCTTAAAATGACAAGTTTTTCGCATTTTTCATTGCAAAAATTAAAGAGAGAATTAGCTCTTAAAAATATCTTAAATATTTTACTTTACTTTTAATCACTGTTATACAATAAAGCAATTTTCCAGCACTTGAGGATTTACTTACGAATTAGTAAACTATTTAAATTCAGTGATACCATTTATCTATATTTATTTGATTTTATTTTTTTAAATCAATATTTATTTTATGATCAATATTTATTTTATGATTCATATTTCAAGCAATAAAAGATATTTATAATTGATTCTTAATATTTAAGACTGTCTTAAACACAGTCTTAAAATGTCGTAAAATAATTATAACAGAGCCGTATTAGTATCTTAAGACATTATTTGTAAATATTAGCCAAGGATTAGGAACAAGTGAATGGAGGAGCGCGCGCCGGCCCTGAACGCCGCATGGATAAGAGTCGATTATTCGTTAAACTTTAACCAGCTCTCCTGCCAAAATTACTTGTCAGATCAAAATTTGCTAAAGGAAAAAGTTGTTCCTTTTAGTACGAAGTATAACGTCCTGTACTCCGAATGCGCCAATTCTGGGACACCCTGTATAGAGAGTAAAGGCACTTGATGTGGATCGGGCAATAGTTCCGAATAATTTATTATATTTAAATAATTATTGTATTTTTTATGGCGATTATCACAGGATTCTGTAGCATTTATGTTAGTTTTATCGATCGTTAGTTGTTTTTTATTTATTATGCAACAATTGTAATTTTTTATTTTATTGATATCATTAAAGAAAAAACGTAAAACATCACTAATTTAGGAATATCTTAAAAATGCATTCAAAATTTAATACCTATGTATAAGGATTAGCCTTCTGACTTTT